GGTGGCTCACGCCTGTAATCCTAGCACTCTGGGAGGCCGAGGTGGGCGGATTGTTTGAGCTCAGGAGTTTGAAACCAGCCTGAGCAAGAGCAAGACTCCGTCTCTACTAAAAATAGAAAGAAATTAATTGGACAACTAAAAATATACAGAAAAAATTAGCTGAGCATGGTGGCGCATGCTTGTAGTCCCAGCAACTCGGGAGGCTGAGGATTGCTTGAGCCCAGGAGTTTGAGGTTGCTGTGAGCTAGGATGAAGCCACGGCACTCTAGCTCGAGCAACAGAGTGAGACTCTGTCTCAAAAAAAAAAAAAAGTCCCAAAACAACAAATGCTGGCATGGATGTGGAGAGATAGATAGGAACACTCTTACACTGCTGGTGGGACTGCAAATTAGTACAACCCCTGTGGAAAGTAATTTGGAGATACCTGAAAGAGCTAAAAATAGAAATACCGTTTGATCCAGCGGTCCCACTACTAGGCATCTACCCAAAGGAAAAAAAGACATTCTATAATAAAGACACATGCACTCGAATGTTTATGGCAGCACAGTTCACAGTTGCAAAGATCTGGAAATAACCCAGGTGCTCATCCATACATGAGTGGATTAATAAAATGCAGTATATGTATATCATGGAATACTACTCAACTACAAAATTAATGGTGATCTAGCACCTCTTATGTTATCCTGGATAGAGCTTGAGCCCATCCTTTGAAGTGGAGTATCACAAGAATGGAAAAACAAGCACCACATGTACTTGCCATCAAATTGGTACTAACTCATCAACACTAAGGTGCTCACATCATATTAATATTCATTGGGTGCCGGTCAGGTGGGGGCGGGAGTAAACTCACAACTAATGGAGATGGACTGCACTGTATGGGGGAAGGGCACACTTCCAGCCCTGGCTTGGGCGAGGCAAAGGCATTACATGTAACAAAATGTTTGTACCCCCATAGTATTCTCAAATTAAAAAAATAAATTAAAAAAATGTAAAAAAATCAGAAGAAAAAATTTGCTAAACAACTTCATTCTATATTGATTTATACCTGGGTTTTGCATAATCAGTAATCTGAAATCTTCATGTGTTTTTCAGTCTTAAAGAGAATAATCTATTTCCTGGGGAAAAATAAATAAATAAATATGCTATAAAACTCAGAAATTGGCTAAGAATTAGAATGTCATACATCTGTTTATCCAAGCTTATATATGTCCTTTTATATCTGTTTCTAAATGATATTTTTCCCAATGTTTACACCATCAGTAATGGAGCCAGGTTGCTGGGTCTTGGAGGCCAGAGTGAATAACATAAGTGTTTATTCAGATGAACAGGTTTAGCATAGATGATGAGTAGAATCTCCTTAACATTCAGGGCAAGTGTGATCCCAAGAACCAAAGTAAAATAAACAATTAAGAGACTAAGAGTTCCTGTTGAAACCAAGATGTTGCAAGCAAAACACAGAACAATTGGAATCATGACTTCCCTAACAATGAAACTGATTGGTCTTAAGGACTTTCTTAATGATTGATAGCTTTAGGTAGATGATTATAAAAATTATTTAAATCATTTCTTTAAATTCATGTAGAGAATTCTATACAACGTGCTTCAAGATGTGTACTTCTAATAAAGAGAGCAACATAAAAAAGCATAGGAGGACCCTATATTAATCACAAACTTCTTTGGTTATCTCACTTGGACCACATCAGTGGTTCTCATAACTACCATAATAGTAGTAGATGATTCATGATGGCACTGATGGTCCTACACCACCTGACCAGAACCACCATCTTTTAGTCTTTCCTCTCACAAGCCATCTGCTCTACCCAAAATGAGTATCCCAGAGTTGCTCCAACCTACCTACACTGGTCTACCTCTGAGCCTTTTCCCTATGCTGTTCCCCAGAATACTCTTATCTACTCTCCCAGTCCACAGACAATATTCAAATCATCACACACACACACACGCACACACGCACCCTACTGCCATTTAGAGCTTGGTCAATGTTATCGTCTAGTCTCTCCATGTGAAATTAATCTTGACATCTCTGTGTTCTGAGGGAACCTTAAAACTCTACTTTAGCAGTAATTAAAATTTCTGCTTTATAATAGCTTATAGAATCCTTAAAGTTAGTAATCCCGTTTGTTTGATAAGTCAAATTCAGTATCCTAGTGGCATTCAATCAGTACCTTTGGATATATCTGGATCTTAATATTTGTGCATTGAATCAAAGTTGATTGTTTCTGGTGTAGTGCCTGCCTACATAAACACTACACAAAGATTCTTGTTTGTATGGTACAAAATTGATAGATCTTGTAGGCCTTCCTTGCTTTATGCAAACTTGTTAGGATTCTAGAGTTGCAAAGCTATTAGAGCTCTGACTTTTTAAATTTAAGGCAGAAAATTAAAATTTCAGTTGAATATCCCTTCTTTCAAACCCCAGTTCAGTTCTGAATTAATGGAATTTGGAAAGAATTCCATTTTTGAGCCACCATAAATACCTCTGCAAGAGTGGGTTTAACTAGCAGAACTAAGCCTATGATCTTGTTACAATTCTCTTATCACCTTAAATTAAAATGTTAATACAACTAGATGTCCTTTTACTAGAGCTTTAAAAGTTGTCAAAATTGCTACCTTTTTTAGAAACTTCCTGGAGAGGTTAGCAGAACCTCCTGGGGAGAGAAAGGCAGAAGAACAAACCACGAAACTGGACTGTAGTATTTGAAAAGAATATAGTATACTGGTTATAAAGGAGTGAATTTTGAGAGATAGAATTTGACTTTAGAATGTAATGTGCTATATAAATGTCCTTGGTCTCATACTGTATTAATAATGTTAGGGTTTCTTTTTGTTTTTGTTTATTTACTTTTAAATCTTGAAATAACTATGAATTCATAGGAAGTTGCAAAAATAGTACAGAGAAGCCTCACGTACCCATTATCCAGTTTCTTCCAGTGCTTACATTTTGTATAATTAGAATATCAAAACCAGGAAATTGAAATTAGGATGATGTGTATATATAGTTCTGTGTCAATTTATTATATGTGTAGATTTGCATAACCACCACTGAAATCAGGATGCAGAATTCCCATCACCATAAATATGTCCCTTGTGCTACCTTTTTATAGCCACACCCCCTCCCCCTAACTCCTGGTAACCACTAATCCCTTCTCTACCTCTATTACTTTATCATTTCAGGAATGTTATAGAAATGAAATCATATAATATGTATCATTTTACAATTGACTTTATTCATTCAGCATCACTTTATGTCCATTCAAATGTGTCAATATGTGTTCCTTTTTATGGCTAATAG